AGGCGAGAGAGCCTGCAGAGGCGAGAGATAAGCCTGCAATTGAGAGGGAGATAAGCCTGCAATTGAGAGAGGCGGAGAGTAAGCCTGCAATTGAGAGGGAGAGATAAGCCCAATTGAGAGGGGAGAGATAAGCCAGCAATTGAGAGGGGAGAGATAAGCCTGCAATTGAGAGGGGAGAGATAAGCCTGCAATTGAGAGGGGAGAGATAAGCCTAAGAGAGATAAGCCTGCAATTGAGAGGCGAGAGATAAGCCTGCAATTGAGAGGCGAGAGATAAGCCTGCAATTGAGAGGCGAGAGATAAGCCTGCAATTGAGAGGGGAGAGATAAGCCTGCAATTGAGAGGCGAGAGATAAGCCTGCAATTGAGAGGCGAGAGATAAGCCCTGCAATTGAGAGGCGAGAGATAAGCCTGCAGAGAGTATCGACGAGAAGGCGACGAAGAGAGAGAGAGAGAGAGTACGTGAGAAATCTTTAAGGAAAGGTGTCGTGGTAGAAGGTACGCCACGCCCTTGATAACTCGACGTCGAGAGCACGGCGAGGGAAGCCCAGTTTGGAGAACGAACGACGCAGGAAATCGATCTCTGGTGGGGGGGGGGGGGGTCACAGGTGCAGAAGGCGCAGAGGAACAGGGGGGGGGGGGGGTGGAAGCTCCTCTCTTTACATTGAGGGGATGGTGCGAAAAGAAGTGCATGTACATATGTATCACTGTGTATTTGTTTCCTGTATATGGAGAGAGAGAGAGAAGAGAAGAGAGAGAGCGAGAAAGAGAAGAGAAAAGAGAACAGAAGAGAAAGGAGAGAAAAGAGAAGAGAGAGAGAGAGAGAGAGAGAAATACAGAACCAGAGAAAGAAACAGAGACAAGGTCAAAGAGAGAAACAGACAGACAAACAAACAAAAGACAACAAAATAAAAGAGATAAAACTAAAACACACACACACACATGCATTCCCCCTCATACACGGCCCCCAGCCCAGCCATCGCAGGCCCCCTCAGCTGCTCGACCCACCACCAGCTTCCTCCACGCCCTCAACACTATAACTCGACCGCCTCTTGCCAACGGAAACTGCCGTCTCCAACACCCGGGCGAGGAGGGCGCAAGCCAAGCCAATCGCCCAGACCATGAAGGCGCCCCACAGCTGGCCGATTTGGATGGGGCTGCCAGCTGATTTCTGCGGAGGAGGGGGGGGGGTTGGGGGGAAGGGGGAAGGGGGAGGGGGAAACAGCTGGTTAGCAATGCGAATATATTTCATCGTTAAGAGTGGGAAGGAGGGTTTTGGTAGATTTTGCGGTAAATTATTAAAAGTGAATGTTATGTTGAGCCTGACACTGTCGCGTTGATAGTGGCTGATAGTGGTTGTCAAGATTACTGTCGTTATTATTAGTTATCTTTTTTGTTGGTATTACTATTATCGTGATTACTATTTCATTATTATTATTGTTAACATTGTTAGTATTAGCATTGCTATTATCATTATTATAATTATTACCATTATTGTTATTGTTATTATTGTAATTATTATCATTATTACTTTTATTGATATTATTACTATTATCATTATTACTATTATTATCATTACTGTTATTATTATTATTATTATTATTATTATTATTATTATTATTATTATTATTATTATTATCATTATTATTATTAATATAATTCATTTATTTTAGTACTATTATTATCATTATTATCATCATGATCATCATCACCATTATCCTTATCATTATTATCATCGTTATTAAAACTCCTATCATTATTACTATTATTGTCGTTATTATTCTTCTCATTAATGTTATATGATTATAATTATCATTATCGATATTATTATTTTCATTATCATCATTTTTATTGTCATTATCATTATCAATCATTATTATTATTATTGTTGTTGTTAATATTATTGTTGTTAATATTATTATCATGTTAATATTATTATCATGATAATAACATTGCTGATGCTGTAATTGCTATCATAAACCTTAACATTATTAATTTATCATTTTCTTCTTTTTCACTATCATCATCATCATAATCACAATAACCCCAATCATCAATATTATCCTCGCACGCCCCCTTTTCTGTATCCTTATCACCACCATCTCTATCATCATCATCATCATCACATTTATCGTCACGGTCCCTTCCCGACCTCACCTGCTGGCTCCTCCTGGCTCCGTCGCTGCGCATGTCGGACTTCATGTGTTTCAGGTAGAAGCGCTGAACGAAGCCAGTTTCCAAAAGCCTCGTGAGACTTCTCGAAATAACGGAGGAATAAGGACAGTTTCTTTTCATGTACCAGACGTAGTAGCCGGGGATCATCTGTGGAAGGACGTTGGATAGGAGGGAGGTTAGTAGATAAAGAGGGAGAAAGGGGGAGGGGGAGGGAGAAGGGGGGAGAGGGAGAGGGAAAGGAGGAGTGGAAAGATAGAGGAAGAGGGAGAGTGAGGGGGGGAGAGGGAGGGGGGAGGGAGGGAGGGAGAGGAAGAGGAAGAGAGAGAGAGAGAGAGAGAGAGAGAGAGAGAGAGAGAGAGAGAGAGAGAGAGAGAGAGAGAGAGAGAGAGAGAGAGAGAGAGAGAGAGAGAGAGAGAGAGAGAGAGAGAGAGAGAGAGAGAGAGAAGAGAGAGAGAGAGAGAGAGAGAGAGAGAGAGAGAGAGAGAGAGAGAGAGAGGAGAGAGAGAGAGAGAGAGAGAGAGAGAGACTATGACTACTACTACTACTATTACTATCATTACAATGATCTATCCTTATTATTATAATTATCATGATCATAAATATCATTCTAACAATCATTTCTTTAATTTTCATCCTGTTCTTAGGGCTAGTATTATTTTCATTATTATGAACAATATCATTATCATCATCAATGCTATCATTAAATTATTGTTATCATTACCAATATCATTGTGTTATCATTATCGTCATTAACGTTTGATTTAATAGTATTGAAATTATCAATGCCATTATCACTGTATATCACTCTCTATACAGGGGATCCTCGACTTACGACGGAGATCAGATCTTACAATAGCGTCGTAACCTGAATTTTAACCTAAGTCTTAACGCACCTAAATCACAGTACATATGCGTACGTACATAAGCACCGAAGTCACTCACATATGCTAATGTAGTGTGTATACATGTATAAAAGGCATGATCTAAAACAAAGCAAGATACTTCTGTGACGTACATGGAAACAACTAGGACTAAAGGAACACAAGGAAGACAAACTGTAAATACTGTACAGGATTTCTAGCTTCATTATCCACGAAACGTCGTATGATCATTAATCATGTTATTAATGAGTGTCTCCATTACCATTACTCCCCCATAATGACAGCGATATTATTACCCCATTCCCCCTACCCTCCTTTCCCCACCACCCCATAGCCTCCCCTCTCCCCATCACTCCCTACCTCTCCTCTCCCCATTACCCCACCCATCACCCTTCCCCACCCACCCCCTCTCCCCCACCACCCCTACCTCCTCCCCCCCATCACCCCCCCTCCCCCCCTCTCCCCCATCACCCCTCCCTCTCCCCATCCCCCCTCCCTCCCTCTCCTCCACTACCCCTACTCTCCTCTCCCTCCCCTCCTTCCCTCCCTTCCTTACCCTCCCTCCTCCTCCCTCCCACCCTCCTCCCTCCTTCCTTCCTCACCACACTCACATTTTCCTTCATGATATACGTGTGGCCGGTGTGGTTGTGGAGGCTCTGCTGATAAGAGAGATAAGAATAGGTCTCGACGAGGGCGTGGGTTCCCTCGGCGACCCACTCGAACCCCTGCTCGAAGGACAGGTACACGTAGGGGAAGAGGTCGAGGGACTCCCCCAGGTGCCTGAGGGCGGGGTCGGCGGAGACTCTGAGGGCGTCGGGAAGGAAGCTGCCGTAGTCCTGCATGCAGATCCTGCCGGGAGGAAGGAGGTGGAGGGTTTTGCGTTGGGGATTGTTGGGGATTGGGAGGGATTTTTTTTGGGGGGGGGGGATTGGGAAGGATTTTTTTTGTTGGGATTGGAAGGATTTTTTTTGTTATTTGTTATTTGATTGTTATTGATGTATTGTGATGTGAAGGATTTTGTTGTTGTTTTTATGTTTTTGTTCGATTGCTATTGATGTATTGTGATGTGAAGGATTTTGTTGTTTTTATATTTTTGTTTGGTTGTTATTGATGTATTGTGATGTGAAGGATATTTTTTGTTTGATTGTTTCTGATGTATGATGATGTGATGTTTTTGTTTTTTTGTTTTTGTTCGATTGTTATTGATGCATGTGAAGAGTCTTTTTGTGATTGTTAAGAATATCTGAAGAATATTTGTTGTCTGTTGGTTGTTAATGATTGTGAAGGTCTTTTTTTTATTGTTATTGGTGTATTGTGATGTGAAGGATTTTTTTCTTTTTTGTTTTTGTTTGGTTGTTATTGATGCATTGTGATGTGAAGGATTTTTATATTTTTGTTGATTATTTGTTGTCTGTTTGTTGTTGAGGATTGTGAAGGATTTTTTGTTTTGTTCGATTGTTATTGATGTATTGTGATGTGAAGATTTTTTTTGTGATTGTTAGGATTATTATTAGGATGGTGAAGGATTGCTTTTGTTTGATTGTTATTGATGTATGATAATGTGATGTTTTTGTGTTTTGTGTTTGTGCAATTATTATTGATGTATTGCGACGTGAAGTTTTTTTTGTGATTGTTAAGAATATCTGAAGAATATTTGTTGTCTGTTGGTTGTTAAGGATTGTGAAGGATTTTTTGTTTTTTGTTTTATTGTTATGTGATTGTGATGTGAAGGACTTTTTTGTGATTGTTAAGAATATCTGAAGAATATTTGTTGTCTGTTGGTTGTTAAGGATTGTAAAGGACATTTTATTGTTATTGATGTATTGTGATGTGAAAGATTTTTTGGGGAGTGATTGTTAAGAATATGTGATTTTTTTGTTGCTCTTTGTTGATAAAGGATTGTGAAGGATTTTTTGTTTGTTTGTTATTGATGTATGATGTTGATG